ATAAAACTTTTCCATAATTTTCATCAACCTGCATCTTTTGAACCCCTGTTATGAAGGGATTCGAAGTAGTTCCTGTAACATGTGACCTGGTACCGTTAGAAAAAACTATCACATAGTGTATAAATCTAGATGTTATGATGCTTTCGCGATCATGAGTGTTATGTCCGGACATGTATTTTTAAACTGTATTATAATGGTAATTTTCACTGATATATAAAACTGCTGTTTTACAAAAAAAAAAAAAAAATGCAGAGTAGATAGATACGACAATAATGTACGAAAGGATGCACCATTGTATGTTTTTGCTTGAAACAAAAGCACACAACCCTCTTCTTTCATCGGGAAATGAAGTGACTGGAGTAAACTAGTGTCATTGATGTGGAGCAAAATCAAAATGTAAAAATTTACTCATACATGCAAATGTAATGACCTTGTATGACTTCTGTGATTAACCTCTAACAAAATCTACACGTATTTATATCAACAGGTGATGGCTGCATCTGTTCAGGCTTATCTAATAATTGGAATCAATTCAAAATTGTTTAATAACTGGAATTGATCCCAAATATTTACATTCTTCGATACAAGTCACATCAGAATATTTTCTCACGATACTGCAGTAAGTAGAAAAAATTCCAAGAATCTGATATAAAGCTGAAACAGGATCAAATCACTAAGGATTTATTTTTTTGAGGACAATATCCTATATACTTGTATTGGGTAACTTTGAAATTTACAATTTTATAAGAATTATAGCCAGCAAGTATCAATGCAATGTTGAAATCAATTCCGCAGTTTAGGAGGAGAAGTTGGACAATGTTGTATCTTCATGGACAATCTTATTACAGTATACCTCCCCTCCACACCCTCTTACACCACCTGAAGGTAAGTTATTCACTGACCACAACATTCTGAACAGAATTCATTGTATAATCATTGTTTCCAACCCCAAACTATGCCTTTTTTTATATCCTGTACTCACATGCATTCCACAAGGATGGTGTCATCTGTGTCAAGTCCAGGGCCTCCATAAGGAAGCAGATAGAGACTGCACAGAGATTCCATCAGAAAGACAACAATCACTAGCCTACTTTACTAATGTTATCTGTTCGATCACGAAATCTTATACCCATGAATTAAAATAGACATCTCACAATTATATCTCTGTGACTTTTAAAGCCCTTCAGACATACCTATCTAGTTAACTGTCCATATTCAAACTTCAATAGAAATTTTATGCAAAATGATTTCCTGTTTGATCCAGACACTGCGTCAAAGTTCATCTGGACATTCCATTCACCCATCTGTGTACCTTAAAGGTTTGTTTGTCTCTTTGATGGTATTTCGTTTTTTCCCCCTATGAACAGTCAGGGTCATTTTGTGGTGGGGTCTCTTCATTAATAACTAGTAGCTATCTCACCGAACAACATACTGGAGGCCCATTGCATGCTATATTTAGTATAAACAAGTCTTCTACTCTGTTTCTTAAGAAGCACATAACACTGAGAGGCAGGAGCATTGAACCTTACACCTCATATTTCCACCCAAGATTGGATAGTCCTACGCCCTAGGTACTGAAAGAACTATATTTTTTGCAGCCCAAAATGAGGGTTAAATTCCTTGTTCCTTTTTTAGTTTAGACAAGTTCTGGATTCCTTCTGAAACCTCCAGGATCATAGCCTCAAGATGGACAAACATGTATAGTGTGTTTTATACTATACAACAAGAAACACAAACATATATAGTGTGCTTTATACTATACAACAAGAAACACAAACATGGTTATACACTGCTCCTGTTTATGGGAATATTAATATTTAGGTCTGACAATTTGGCCTTTTCCCACTAATGGTCGTACACTAGATATAAACACACGATCACAGTGTCTACTGTTAAGATTGGTTTTTATGGACTTTTGAATTTGATAGCTTTATTATAGAATTTTACATGTATGTAGACTATTGATAAGGTCAGAGTCTGGTTAAAGGCCATCACTGAAACCCTCCCACTGTAGTTATTTGTCCTCCACTCAACATATAATCTACTTAATAACCTCACAATTATTTCTTTTCAATGAATTATCTTTCTACTTCTAGGATATCACAGGAACTGACCTTTCACAGGTCTTCTCACTCGTCAATAAAAGTCATTCTCCCCATCAAAAGGGGATTCACCTGGCCTGTAAAAGTTCACCTTCAATCATCATTTGCCCCCACCCCTTTCCCACTCCTATCAAGGTCATTTATGCAACCTGTTAGAGTCTTTCCCTCTGTCCGAAGAAGTTCAACAATAAATATCATTTGCCCCAAATGTCAAGGTCATTTTCCCTGCCTATCAAGGCCAATCAACCCACCAGTCATGGTAATTTGCCCCACATGTCATGGTCATCCATCCAACCAGTCCAGGTCAGTCAAACCCTTATCAAGGTCATTTGCCCCACATGTCATGGTCATCCACCCAACCAGTCCAGGTCAGTCAAACCCCTATCAAGGTCATTTACCCCACATGTAAAGTCATACTTTCATATAGATTTATCCTGCAATAAGTTCAGAGAGCAAACTTCACTTCTTATAGGACAATGAAATAACATAATTTAACTAAACATGAATAAACATGGGTGGGCTTATTGACAGACATAGGCTGATTGCTAGATATATATGGTACTAGTCAAAGGCATCAGTTATTTATTTATGCATGTTTCTTTATGTTTACAGGATCTTTAGTTTATCATATGAGGAAAGCAGACATATCTAACTTTAATAACATGACAAATTTCCCCTCCTTTTACCTACATGTCATATCTTCCCTTTTTCTATCAGTATGACATATCTCCCTTTCTTTTAATCCAGCTAGACTTATCTCCCCTACTTCCAACAGCATGAATATTCTCCCCTACATCTGGCTTATCTCCCCTACTTCAAACAGCATAACTTATCTCCCCTACTTCCAACAGCATGATTTATCTCCCCTACCTCTAACAGCATGACTTATCTTCCCTACTTCTGACCTTTCTTCCCTACTTCTAACAGCATGACTTATCTCCCCTATTCTGACTTTTCTCCCCTACTTCCAACAGCATGACTTATCTCCCCTACTTCCAACAGCAAGACTAATCAACCCTACTTCTACCCATGACTTATCTCCCTACATCTTACCTTTCTCCCCTACTTCCAACAGCATGACTTACTTCCCCTACTTCTGACTTATCTCCCCTACTTCCAACAGCATGACTTATTTCCCCTACTTCTGACTTATCTCCCCTACTTCCAACAGCAAGACTTATCTCCCCTACTTCTAACAGGATGAACTACCTCCTGTTCTTACATTTACATGACTCATTCTCCTTTTCTAATGACTTGACCTACCTCCATTCTTCTTCTACCTCAATGACTTATCAAATAACACCCTTCCTCTACCACCTTGAATTATCTCTCCCTCCTTGGTACTAACACAATTTCAACCTTGCCTGGTAGCATTGGTCCCACATGGTCTTTCAAGTCAATTAAAATTTCCAGCAGTAATTAATACATAACAAAGATACATAATTGTATGTGATGATTTCTAAAACCAGCAAATCATGACTAAAAATGTTTGTCATCAACTAACATGTTCTCACTGAACATGTACCAAAATATTCCCTCACCGAGGCTTGCTTACTGAGTACACTCACTGCTGTTGTATGTGTGGAACTACAACACAGTATAGATATTTGCAGATATCAGAAAAACACAACTAGGTCAGACAACAGATGTTTTATAAAGTGCCAGATTCGAGCAATGACCTTTACTCCAAGTTTGACAATCTTTGTTTTGTTTGTCTTCCTTAATGTTCTTTAACATCAACAGTTACATAAAAAAACCAAATGATGCCTAACATCCATTCGTTGATGATTTTCTCAATATAAAGAAAATTCACATTTTATAAAGAAAGACAATTATTTTCAGATAGAAATAAAGACTTGAGATATTTGCAGTACACATCCTGTTTCCAGGGCAACAGAAAATGATACCTCAATTACTTCTGACTAGAAGGCCTTAATGACTTCATTAAGTGTAGATAAATCATCAATGATTATAATAAACAGAAAATAAGCTGTTCTTGTTCTAAACACAGCAAGCTGCTATTTAAGAGTAAATAATGCAGCCATTTAAGAGTGGTAATTTTACTGAAGCTCTTTGCAGTATAGGGTTGAGCTCTTCAGTAATGGTAAACAGTAATGTATTGAAATAGATGTTTTTCTTGTAAAACCAATTTCTAATACTAATTTCTATATAATTACCGAGCTCCACCTATCCTTTACTATGTAACTTTATCATTTTCGGGTACAGAGGCTATTTATGGGAGTAATCGAGTGTAGCAGAGTTTTCCCTAGGAACCTCGAACTGTGTCCAAGGACTCGCATCATATATCAAATAGATCTAGAGTAAACCTTTATTAGCATTGGGGGTCTTTCGTTAATTGAAGGAGTCAAAATGAAGGATTTTGAAGGTCAGGGAAAGTCATGATGTCAGTAGCAAAACTATTTGAAATCCTTTTTTTTTTTTTTTTTTTCTATATTTCCTACAAAATTTTTTAATTTCAACAGTTATTCTTGTATTTGTAAGTACCCCTGTAGATGTACATGTATTTTTGCTTTCTATTCTTTGTCGAAGCAGAAGAGGAACAAATAATTTTTTTTTTAATTTAAAACTAAGTAATCTTTTAAAAGTGGTTACCATTAAGTCATGTATTTTTGGGGCATTTTAATTTTCATGGTCTTTCAGAAAAGTTACTAATTTTTTTGACACTTGAATTACGGGATAACTAATCCTCCAAAATGTAAGAGTTCAAGTCAGGTTTTCATTTGTATTATTTTTCTTTTTTTGTGAATTCATGAATTTGTAGATTAAAAGCAACAAAAACAAACCCAACACAAAAATTTATGACATAACAGGATGTTGTAAAAAGCCTGAAAAAAAACTTTAATTTCTAGATTTCACAATTACAACTTATGAACTTACCTTTTCGTTTGGAAGCGGTCAGTTTCATCCTCGGTCATTTGCTTGACCATATGGACAACAGGTGAAGGTGGGGGCTCCTCCTGAGATGGTGGCCTGACCTCTATGTTTTGTTTCACACTTCTCTGTCTCATCTCAACCATCCCTGATCCCACCACATTTTCATAAATTGAAGAACCTACTACATTCTCATACAGAGGGGATTCATTTAACAGGGCAGCAGACTGTTTGTTATCAACAACCTTTTCTTCAATCACCTCCTCCACAACCTCTGTGTTCGAAATGTTAGGTACTGGTGGCGACGTTGACGGTGGTGAAGGTGGTGATGGCGGAGATGTCAGTTCTTCAGAAGATAAATTTGTAGGTGAAGACTTGATCACCTGTCCCAAAGCATGACTGTACGGAGGTGGAGGGGTCTCTGGAACAGGGTACGGAGGAGGTGGAGGTCGTTCGGACAGTTCAACTTCCACGGGAGCTTCATCTCTTAGCGACTCCAGCATTTCATCTGGAGGGGAGGAGTCTGGGATAGGAGGCGGGGCTGATGATGGCGGCAGGTCATCATCATCTTCCCATGCATTGCTGGACTTTAGAAAAGACTGTGGTTGTGTTTTACGAGGAACTGGAATTGGTTTTGGCACAATGGCAGGTTTTGTGGGAATAGGAGGTTTTGGCTTATTGGAGGACAATTTTCTGGTCCGAGACTGTCTCGAATCTTGGACACGAGATTTAGAATCACTAGATTCTGAGTCGGATCTTATGCGAGACGACAGGTCAAAGTGTGGAATGTTTTCATGCACAATAGTTTCCGTATTTTCTTTCTCCTTCAAAACTTCAACATTATGTACATTTGGGTCATTACTTGTGACATTTTCCACGTAATTTGGCTTTTTAGACCTAGTTGGAGCAGAATCATCTAATGCATCCATTGATCGTGATTTCTGAGGCAGACCTTGATGTTTGTGTTTCTTCCAATCGAAAAAAGTATCAGTTACATCTGACTTTTGTTCTCGGACTTCCCATGATCGCCTTTTTGCTTGAAAATCAGACTTTGTATCATGCTTCCAATATCTATCTGCCTTTTGTAAAGCTGCCTGTATTTCCTCGCGACTAATTCGCTTTCCATCAGAAGCTGATGAAGTTCCGTCATCTTTACGTTTACGACGTAGCACTACAGCATCAGTTTTAGAGTCACTATCGACAGAAGTCTTGTCATTACTGGAAGAATCTGAGTTATCCTGCGACCCAGATCTATTCCTTATATCTCGACTTGGTCTTGTACGACTTGAGTACCCTGATTGTACAGATAAATCATAGTTTCTGGAATGGCTTGTGTCCATGTCATTTGCTGCTTCCTGCATAGTATTTTCATCTTTGCGATACCTACTTGTACCAAACTTATGTTCGTCACTTGTTGCATCCGAATGTTGTCGCCGTTTCCATAGCAATCCACCAGGGGCATTACTATGGAGTGGGAGTGATGGTTTAGGAGCGGCTTTCTCAGTTCTTATCACATCTTGTTGAAAGGCTAAATTGTTAGGCCTCTGATCAGCACGTGACCGCCGTCCAAATCCAAATGATGTTGGAACGGAATCATCGCTATCTGCTGGTTCCGATGAGGAGCGACGTTTACTCAAAGTTTCAAGAGGTTCGGAATGTGAATTAGTGAGAATATCTTCAGAAGGGGAACGAACTCTACCTTCTGGACTGGATGGAGAGCTCAAAGTTGGGGAAAGAACTGGGGATGGTGAAGTTGTTCTTGGTGAAGTTTTCCGTGTGAGATAACGGTCTGGCTCCAGTGTGTTTGAGCGGGCTTGTTGATCCAATCTGGCAAACAATGCTCGTGTGTAGTTGAATCTATCCACATGATTTGTTGCATCAAGTAGCTTCTTTGGATCAGAAGATCTAGGGGGAGACATTGCCTTCCCATCTCTTAAACTTGACAAATCAAAAGTTTTTTTCTTTTTTATTTCCGGGGACTTTTCTGGAACTGGGGGTGGTTGTCGTGTTAGGTTAACTTTAAATTCCCCTCCCCTCACGTCTTCTCCCGTCTGAAACATCTCCTTAATCTTACTGACATTTGAACGAAATTTAACGTGTGACCGTCCACTTATAGAACTCTCTCTATTATTAAACACATTTTCATTGCCAACAGGAGCAGATTTCACATCCTCCTGCGTCTCCATATTATCATTCATGCTAGGTGGTAGGTTTTCTACATCATCAACCACACTACCACTTCTAAAACGACTCGCCCTCAAGACGTCGTAACGACTATCGCGGTTCCTTGCCATTTTTCCATTGATAACATTGAAGATGTTGTAAACCAAATCGAAATATACCTGTGCTAACCAAATGCATGGAAATCAGCTTTTCATTAAATAATCCTTTCCTGAAATCCAACCAGATGAATGACTCGCCTAATTCCAAAGATATTTCTTTCAAAACTTCCACAGTAATAGTTGATTTTTCTCCAAATCAGAACATCACACCATCCAGTTTTAATGTTGTAAATCTGAACAAGACGTTGTTTATTTTAAAAATCCTTAATATCAGGCTAAATTTAAATATGTAGTTACTAACATCAACGGAACAGTTCAGAGTGAAGGAGTTACATGACACGAGGTTGTGGAGAGTTCAGAGGTTAAAGGGAGGATATGATCGGATACTGGTTGAGGGTTTTCTCCGTTTACACCATCCTCGTTTCTTCACCGCCAGGACGTCATTATGGTTGTGAACCTCCCTGTTGAGTTATTCTGAAAATATACAGATAAGTCTGTTAAAATAGAGGAACAAATTGATGACCAGTAAGCAAAAACTCCTGTTTAAGTTTGTTATTACTGAAAAATATCTACTGTACAGAAAAATAGTAATACGGAGGAAAGCTGTACTGTTACATGTTGTTGTTGATAATTTCAGTTAATTCTACATCAAATTTTTATAACAGATGGAGGAGATGGGTTGAGGATAGGGGAAGAAAATATTCATTTCAGGTCAGTTTCAGCTCAATGAGACATGTAGAACTTGAGGAAAAGTTGAAAATGTTTACGACGGACGACGTACGACGATGGACGACACCAGACAAAAGGCGATCGCAATAGATTAAATTAAGAAATTTTGTTTGCAAATGTGGCATGAAAACTGGAGAAATGCCCCAACAATGACAGCTTATCTAGCACTATGATCAGTTAAAACAAAATCATATGCTGAAATTGTAGTATACATAGAAATGGTATAGATTTGTTTTCCTGATAAAAAATTTCTAATTAAGCGTTTATTTCAAAGAATATTGATTATTGCAGTTGTCAATAGTTGGTTTTACAGTTTAAACTGTTTTGTAGATTCACAGATTAAATTCAAGGATCGCTGGAGAGAACAGTGAAAAGTGTGTGATGATGTATCTGTACCTAGAGAATCACAAAGATACAGTACCTTATCAAGGTGTGCATGGCCAGGTGAATTGACTGACAGGTCAAACACCAAAGTAAAAGTGACACCTGCAACTTTATACATACATTTACCTTTAAGTACTGTATCATCCCCTTTACCTTACCTGAAACTAGTTCACCTGTACGTTTTACATAGGTAACATATCTATACAGGTAACAGGTGACAAGGTTTTGTATATATATATATATATATATATATATATAGACACTTATATCGTCACTATCATGCATTTGAGGATGTTATACAGATATACATTATAATTATCTACACCTGTACTAGCTACACAGGTGACAAGGTTAGAAAGCCACTCTCCCTATCATGTGTGTAATCATGTACAGATTGTAAATATCTACACTGGTACATATACCTGTACAAATAAAACAAGGAAAACTGAGACAAGGGAGATAACTGATATCTTTTCCTAAGGAGATTTGTTAACTTTGTCTATCTCAGTCTTAAGGAAACTCCAACAACCATATATATTTTATTATATTTTACTCATTAAAGGAGAGGATAAATTAAATGTATTGGAAATGTAACCACCTTCAGGTCTAAGAGTGGCAAATTTTCTTATATAGTTAGATTATGAAAATAAAAGTATACAAGTTAGGTTTTGATATAAATTTGTACAAAGTAAAAAAATATATATGAAAATAAATAACATCATCCAATTTGAAACCAAAAACTTTCCATATTTGTCAAAAATTAAATGAAATTTTCTCTATACGACAAAACTTATCTGTTTGCATTTTCATTGTTCCCAATTTTTTTATTGTTGTGCACAATCCAATGTACGATGAAAGTTAAAAGCCATTTCAAATCATCCTTTGAAGAAATATCATACATTTAACAAAATTTCAGAACTATGAAAAAATAATTAAACTCCAAGTAAATTTTTTTCAAATTCACCATCAAACCAACCATACATGACAAGAGATGGCTACAGTAGCCAGACATTTTGAACTTCCTGTTTCGTGTTTAAAATAAAAATGTCTTGTATATAGACATACCATCTAATGTTTACTAGCCCGTTGATATTTACATGATCTCAATTCTACGAATATTATCATATCTGTACACAAAAGATTAAAAGTTTTTAAATCTACAAGCTTGCTATTTACGTGTGCTCTGCTAGCAAGATCGAATTACATTGTATATGCTCTCCCATCGAAAACAAACATACACTTAACTGTGACCTTCACAGAGTTCCCATACATGTAAAAATGGTTAACTATCAAGTTACCGAAATATAGGTATAAGTTTTTAAAGTTTGATAACTTTTTAAAGGTAACAGGTGATATATATGTTTACTGGTAGAATTATACCATCATGTACAAGATCATTCTGCTTCAACTTAATTGAATCACACTTTGAAATAAAAATTTTGGAAGAAGCACAAGACGGCTTGCACGTCTGCAGAATAACTTACACAGTAAACACATTGATATACAAATAAAATATTACCCAGAACTACATTATAATAATGTAGGTTACTGTAGGTTAAGTACACATGTACAAAACCAGAGACATTTTAATGAGACAAATTTTCACGGTTGGAATTAGAATACCAGAAATTAAAGGAAGATAATTACACATTTCTCCATTCCATATCATGAAACTACAAAATCTGATGACATATGATCAATATTACCAAATATTTTCACCTTCAGGAAATTTGATAATTATACAAAAGAGCCTTATAATCTCTAAATGATTTCCATATCATTTTTTCAAATATGGACAAAAAATTCAGTTATAAAAAATTCAAGTAAACAAGTTTTGACTACAACATAAACTTATGTTTACATGTACATTTGAATTTCAATATCTGGATTCTTGTGTGTATAAAAACAGATTTTTTCCCTCACATCACTAGTTAATGAATGATTTTACTAAAAAAGGTAAAGAATTCTTGAACTCAAAATCCATTGTACCCTGAAGAAAATATCAGTTTTCCACATTTTTGTTCAAATTCTATAAACAGGTTGTGACATTTTGAACATGGCGTCACTAAGTATCAGTTTTATCTATAAGTGTGTATCTCTGACAATACTGTTGTAGTGGGTATAGCTTTGAGTGGCCAAGGATCAAACAACTACACAAGAGGACAGTTATTTAATATAGGATTTAGACGTGTAAATATATTCTTGCTACACCCAAAGTTATTGCCTTAGCATATACCTGGTCATAGAATCAAATATCTGTAAATCTCCTGTTTGATAAATTGCATTTAAAAAAGAAACATATATTTATTCCTAATTAATTTATTTGTCAATCAAAATATCAATAATTCAAAAGTAAAGTTTGTAGGATTTTTTCCGTAAAGTCTAGAAAATCCATTGTGTAATTTTAATGAGTCCCAATAACACGATATATTTTGGCCAATACTCAAAATTTGAGGGACTCCACAGGAAAAGTCCAGCACATGAATCCAGAAATAACTAATGATTTACTTAATAAACATCTTAATTTTCATCCCATGTAAAACCAAGTACTAGACATAAAGTTATATCTAATCTGTTTACCTGTATGTGTTCACGATCAATTAATCTTGTGACATATCTACATCAGTATTGATCATGTACAGGTCATAATCGAAAAATACAGCCATGTGTCACAAACAGGTATATATACATCCACAGGTAAGATATTCACACCTGTCAGGGGAATTACCTGTATATTTTATACCTGTAAGAAACATATTCAGGTATATTAATCGATTTAATGTGACAAGAGAGATTCCTCACCTTCCCCTTTCCATGTCTCTCCATGGATGTGTAGATTTTTTTATTATCACTGCAAGTCTATAACATATTCCTCAAAAGTCTATAGCATATTCCTCAAAAGTCTATAACATATTCCTCAAAAGTCTATAGCATATTCCTCAAAAGTCTATAGCATATTCCTCAAAAGTCTATAGCATATTCCTCCAAAGAAGAACTTGTTCCAAATACCGAATCATGCACTCTGCGGGAATCCTATACCCTTTGCAATATTAGAGAATTTCCCTCACGCCTGAAAATGCTCCCTTCACATCCTTCCTTTCCATCCCTTCTCTCATAATCTCTTTCCTATCCTCCCCACCCCTTCTCCAATAACCTCTTTCCTATCCTCCCCACCCCTTCTCCAATAAGCTCTTTTCTATCCTCCCCACCCTTCTCCAATAAGCACTTTCCTATCCTCCCCACCCTTCTCCAATAAGCACTTTCCTATCCTCCTCTCCCCTTCTCCAATAAGCTCCTTCCTATTCTCACAACCCGTTCTCCAATAAGCGCTTTCCTTTCATCCCAACCCCTTCTACAATAAGCTCCTTCCTATTCTCCCAACCCCTTCCACAATAAACTCCTTCCTATTTTCCCAAACCCTTCTACAATAAGCTCCTTCCTAATCTCCCAACCCCTTCTCCAATGAGCTCCTTCCTATTCTCCCAACCCCTTCTCTAATGAGCTCCTTCCCATTCTCCCAACCCCTTCTATAATAAGCTCCTTCCTATTCTCCCAACCCTTACTCCAATGAGCTCCTTCCTATTCTCCCAACTCCTTCTCTAATGAGCTCCTTCCTATTCTCCCAACCCCTTCTACAATAAGCTCCTTCCTATTCTTCCAAACCCTTCTACAATAAGCTCCTTCCTATTCTCCCAACCCCTTCTCCAATGAGCTCCTTCCTATTCTCCCAACCCCTTCCACAATAAATTCCTTCCTATTTTCCCAACCCCTACTCCAACAAGCTCCTTCCTATTCTCCCAACTCCTTCTCCAATGAGCTCCTTCCTATTCTCCCAACCCCTTCTCTAATGAGCTCCTTCCTATTCTCCCAACCCCTTCTCCAATGAGCTCCTTCCTATT